TGAATGACTTATCACCTTTGTTAAAAACCACTGTCTGTGGTTTCTTTGTTCTCTATCCATGACCTTGGGCTGACACTGTCTGACCTTGTTCATTCCCTGCCACTCTTGTCACTGTCTGTGTTGATAGTTCCTGGATCTGCATGCTGACTTCAACCTCCAGTATACATAAGGCATATCTGACCACCTAATGTATACTTCCATCTGTATGTCCCATGGATGCTGTGGATGGGACTTTGTTTTCCACCTTGGCTCCATTTCCCCCCACCCCCCTGCCCCCGTCTGTGCTTGAGTGGGACTCATTCTGGGCAATCTATTCTGTTTCTTTCATCTATGTGTTTTTCCCTTCACCAATACCACACTATCTTGATTTCTGTGGTTTTCAAGAAAGTCTTAAAATCAGGTTGAGTTATTCCTCCAACAATATTTCCTTTTTCAATATTTGTTTGCTTGTTCTAGTTCCTTTGTGTTTCCATTTAAGATTTAGAGTCATCTTATCTCTATCGACAAAGAATACCATCAGGAGTTTTATAAGAACTTCTTTCAAACTATGTATAAGACAGTTTGGGAGAGAACTTTATTATACTCGTGTTGAATTTTCCAAAACATGGACGTGGTATTTCTCTCCATTTACATTGTTTTTTTTCCCCCTTAGTATCTTTTCGTTTTTATCATATATATATATATATATATTCTGTATGCTTTTCATTGGATTTATATTCATGTATTTTACATTTTTTGAAGTGATTGTGTTTTGAATTCTGGTTTCCAATAATTAAGATCGCTCATATTGTCAGGAGGGACCAGTCGCTGGAGAAGGATATCATGTTTGGTAAGGTGGAGGGTCAGAGAAAAAGAGGAAGACCCCCAACGAGATGGATTGGCCAAGTGGCAGCATCGATGGACTCAAGTGTGGCAACAGTAGTGAGGTTGGCTCAGGATCGGGTAGTGTTTTGTTCTGCTATGCATAAGGTCGCTATGAGTCGTTACCGACTCGATGGCATCTAACAACAATAGCAATGAATTGGAACTGACTCAGTGGCACCCAACAGTGACATCATATAGAAATATGATTAGTCTTTGTGTGTTGGCTTCATAGCCTGTACCCTTGCCAGCTCATTAGTTATGAAGAATATTTTCTATTTAACTATTGGGACTATCTATAGAGATAGTCATGTGTCCCCAAGCCTAGCATCCTGAAAACCTCTAACCTCTTCAGGTCTCTGGTTTCCTTGGAGTTTCTCTACCTTTGTGATTATCCCTTTAACCTCTTCAGGTCTCTGGCTTCCTTGGAGTTTCTCTACCTTTGTGATTATCCCTTTGTGTTCATCATTCATAATTGTATAGACTGCCAAGGCTGTGTCTTAGACTAATCTTCCTATATGTGTGTGATCTTGGTCTGACATTGTCTGGCTTCATTCATTCCAAGCTTCTGTTGTCACTGTCTATGTTGATAGTTCCTGGGTCTGCATGGTGACCCTGACCTCCAGGTGTGCATATCTGACCATCTCTTAGATACTGTCATCGGGATGTCCCATGGATGCTATAGATATGACCTTGTCATCCACCTTGTCTCTCCTCCTGTGATAGGCAGAATTGTAAGATTCACTCAACTTATCTCATGTCCTCCCCTTGAGCATGGACGGAGCCTGTAACAAGAATGAGGCATCACTCCTGTGATTGTAAAATGGTATATGGAAAAGGGAATCTTTACAGACATAATTAATGTGCCTAATCAGTTGAGATAACGAAAATGGGGATTATCCAGGGTAGGCCTGAGCTAATCGGATGAGTTCTTTAAAGGGAATTTAGATACTAGAACCCTGTTGATGCAATAGTTAATCACTCAAAACCATACTTATAGGGCAGTTCTATTCTGTCATATCGTATCTGAGTCACCACAATAGCACGTAACAACAACAGATGTTAGAGACAGAAATTATTGGCACACCTTCCTGTTTACCTTGAAATAAGAATACAGCCTTTTGTGAACTGCCCATGAGGCCATAGGATAAGGAGCTACAGGCAGTCTCTAGTAGTTGGGACTAGTCACTGGCCAACAGACACCAAGAAAATGGAACCTCAGTTCTACAACCACAGGATCTTCATTCTGCCAACAACTGAAGACACTTCCTAAGACTTCCTAACTCAACAACACCTGAGTTGTTGGCAGAATTAGGGAAGAAGACCCAGAGCTCCAATGAGAAACTCAGGACAGATGACACAGTTTTCTTGTACCCGAGATGAAAACCCACATTCACTGTGCCTGGGCCTCCGACCCACAGAAGCCGAGAGGACAAGTCTGTGAAACTAGGACCGTCCTCCAGAGCTGACATGCAGACAGAATGTTTTCCCTTAGTGCTGGTGCTCGTCATCTGGACTTTGAACCTCCTGAAGTTGAAAAGATTGAAGTTGTCATAGACTTCATTTTGCTTAGACCCACAGTCAACACTATGCAAGCAGCAATCAAAAATCAAATGGGGTATTGCATTAGCTGAATCTGCTACACAAGACCTCTTTAAGGTGTTCAAGAGCAAAGATGTCAGCTTGATGACTAAGGTGTGACAGACTAAAGCCATGGGAATTTCAATCATCTCCTGTGCATGTGAAAGTTAGACAATAAATATGGAAGATGATACAAAAATTAGTGCATTTGAGTTATGGGGTGGGAGAGCAATACTAAAAGTACCATGGACTGCCAAAGAAGCAAACACATCTGTGTTGGAAGTAATATAATTAGAAGGTTATTAGAAGCCAGAATGAGACTTTCTCTCTCAGGCTTCAGACATGTTATCAGGAGGAACTAGGCTCTGTAGAAGGACATCATTCTTGGTAAAGTGTAAAGTCAGCTAAAAAGAAGAAGATTCCCATCGAGATGGGTTGACCATGGAAGCATGGATGGGCTCAAGTTTAACAGTCAATGTGCGGATGAAAAAGGACTGGACAGTGTTTCATTCTATTGTGCCTGTGGTCACTATGACTCAGATATGACTCAGTGGCACCTAACAACAACAACCAAGTGTGAGAAAATAATTTTCTGTTTGTTAAAGATCCCCACTTATGGATTTTGTGTTATAATAAGATATTTCTTGACTCATTCTATGAGGCTAGTTTTATTTTGATAGCAAGGCTAGACAAAGATATTAAGAAGATGATGGGGAAATCCTATGTGCCAATTTTCTTTATGAATATAGACTCAAAAATAATCAGCTGAATGTTAGTAAACAAATTCAAAAGAATATGCAGTCAATGTATTGCACACTTGATTAAAACCACAAGATCTTATAAATTAATGTTGAAAAAAATTGACCAAATCTAATGTTCTTTCATGAGAAGAAACACTCAGCAAACTAGGGAGCTTCTTCAACATCTTAAAGAACATTTGTGAAAATTCCACAGCTGACATCATATTTAATGGTGAAAGGTTGAAAGCTTCCCCTCTAACATCAGGAACAAGACAAAGCTGTTGACTTTCACCACCTCTATTTAACATGGTCCTAGTGTCTGGAGCCTGATAAATTAGATAAGAAAAGGAAAAACACACGTTCATATACAAAAAGAAGTAAAACTATCTTCAAAGTATATGTATATACTGTAAAAACATTCAACAAGAGACTATTAGAACTAAAAAAACTGAGGGAATGGAAGCAAATACTATTGAATGATGATGCACGGAGGGAATTGCAATCATTGCAATGAAATGATGGTGTAAAGCCGATGTTCTCCCATGTAAACTATAACTCAATTCACAATAAAAGAAAAAGAAGAAGAAAAATTGAGACTATTAGAACTAATAATAAGTTCAGAAAATTTGAAAGCATATCTTTACACTGAAACCAATGGTAGTTCCCAATATCAGCCATAAACAACCCAAAAGTGAATGAAGGAAGCAATTCCATTTGCAATAGAATCTCAAAGAAAGAAATAACTTTAGGAAAAAATTTAATCAAAGATGTACAAGGCTTGCACACTAGTCACAAAACATTGTTGAAAGAAACTTTAAAATCTTGAAATAAATAAGACATTCCATTTTATGGCTTGAAAGATAACATTATTAAGATAGCAATACTCCCCAAAGTGATCTGCAAATTGAATGTAATCTCTGTTAAAGTCCCAATAGCCTTTTGTTTTGTTTTTATTTTTGCCGAAATGGTATGCCGATCCAAAAATTCATGTGGAAAAAAATAAAAAACACAGACTAAATTTAAAACAAAACAAAACAACCCCCCCCCCAAAAGCCTTGAAAAAGAATGATAGTTTTAGGGGTCACACTTCCTGATTTCAGAACCTACTTTAAACCTACAGTAATCAAGACAGTGTAGGGCTGGCTTTAGAACAAAGTTAGATCCATAGGATAGAACTGAGAGCACAGAAATAAACCCAAGCATTCATGAACAATTGCTTTAGAGTCAAGGGGTCAAGGGAATTCAGTAGGAAAACAGAGTTTTCACCAAATGTTGCGGGACAACTGTATCACCACATGCAAAGAGAATTCATTAGAATCCTTGCCTCACACCATATATGAAAACAAAAACAAAAACATGAAGTTAGTCATACACCTAAGAATATCAACTAATGATAAATCTCTTAGAAGAAAACACAAGGCACCTTGATGTAAGGGAAGGATGGGCTTACATTGTGGGCATGGTAGAGAAAACACACATGTCAGAACCAGATCTGCCCTTCCTGGAAAATCGCTAACAAGCTAAGAATCCTGGAGATGAGTTTCTATTTATAGCAATTTAACTGATTGGAAAGAAGACAAATTTAAATACCTGAAATAGGAGATGGAAGATGTGAAAACCAATGGGAGGCCCTGGTGGAGGGGGAGAACACACACACAAACAGGAAAAATATCATAATAGGAAGAAGGAAGTCAGTGTGTGATCAGCCAGACCTCAGCCCAGGACTATAAAGGGCTCCTGGCAGAAGGAACCCACATCAGAACCTCTTCATTCACTATCTACTACTCTAACCAACTCCACCCTCAACTCACCAGAATCATGGGCTGCTGTGGCTGTTCTGGAGGCTGTGGGGGCTGTGGCTCCAGCTGTGGAGGCTGTGGTTCCAGCTGTGGTGGCTGTGGCTCCAGCTGTGGTGGCTGTGGCTCCAGCTGCTGTGTGCCTGTTTGCTGCTGCAAGCCCGTGTGCTGCTGTGTGCCAGCCTGTTCCTGTTCCAGCTGTGGATCCTGTGGGGGCTCCAAGGGGGGCTGTGGTTCCTGTGGGGGCT